ATTCGGTAGGATAACTTGGACGCGTGATGAGCCCGTCGCAAGGCCTCTATCTACATACAGGACAACACAAATACAGAATAAAGTCACACAGATATCAGTGCCTCGAGTGGGATTCGAAACCACGATCCCAGTGTTGGAGCGGTCGAAGACAGTTCATATCTTACACGGCATGGCCAGTGTGATCGGCAAGGAGGGAGGATCACACACTATAAATAAGGCATTGTTGTAACCTATACACACCTACAGTTCTTATCTGAGTGAATGGACTCGTCCAAAAGCACTGCATATTCTACTGAGGACGGCCAGGATTGGGTTCATGCAAGGACTGTGTGAGCGGGTTACCTAACAACGTATTTGGCGCTGGTGACAATTTTGTAGGGAAATCTAGAAACAGTATTGATCACAACGAGTGAACAGTGTCTTCATATTGTGGCCAACTGGATTGTGGTACCATGTAATTTAGTATGCTGAAGAAGGAGGCATTGTGTTAATCCGCATTCTCGGTGTCCACTTGCCAAATTATGCATCCAGAAGACAACAATATAAATCTTCGTACCCGCCAGAAGCTCAGATCTCCCCAGACACGAGCTGTGTCTTTGCATTGATGATACTCTCTGCAGAATATACGGCATGACATGAACTGTCAGGGCACAGTGAATAAATTGAGGCCAAGTTCGACCACACCAAATCTTTCTGTTTTGACTGAGAATAATGTAGTTCTGTATCTTGTTATAAACGACGCGAAAGTAATATTTTCTTAGGCAGGTGCTCAGCAAGTGGGCCGCAGGAGGGAACTGTTTTGTAGAGAATCAGTTTCTGGCATCAAAACTGGGCCTAGTGACGCATTTATATTTCGTAATAATGTTAAACTGCAGAGTTTGGGAGAGTTACGTTTTAGGTTTCTTGAATTGAGAGTAAAATACTGCATTACTGATGAAGGAAGTAGTTATGAAAAGTTATTTCAGAAATTCTTTCTGCATTCACTCACTCACTCAATCAATCAATCATGGAGCAGAGCCCTTCTTGAGAAGCTGCCAATTATGCAGCTACTCAGAAACTTCCCAGCATTTTATGGAACTCGAAAGTTCATTACTGTGTTCACGAGAGCCCACCACTGGTCCCTAGCCTGAGCTAGATCAATCCTATCTCTCTAAGATTCATTTTAGTATTGTCCACCCACTTACGCCTTGGTCTTTCCTGTGGTCTCTTTCCTTCTAGCATTTCCTCCAATATTCTATATGCATTCCTCCTCTTCCCATTCGTGCTATATACCATTCCCATCTCGCCCTCCTTTACTTGAATTCTTTCTACATTTCATTATATAATCTTAATATTAACGCTACTCTTTCTGGCGACTAAGTGTTCGTCCCTCCCTTAAAATTTTCATTTTTCTAGTACATTGGTAGAAAAGTTCTCCTGTTTCAATTCACAATTTTCAGGGTGTCAGTGCCTAATCACCCCATCTAAGTGGACCTACGGTCATGATTTTTATCCTGCATAAGATCTCTCTTTCCCTTCACTACCCTTCTATACTCAAAAAGACAATAATTATCAACCAGCTACAGTATATACTCTAGTACATTTTTTCGCTGGCTCTGCAGCCCCCTTGGATCCTGGCCTCTGATTTTTTCAGTTTTATCATAATTTTATGGTCGGTAGGACTCCTTGGACTTGCGATCAGCTCGCCGCAAGGCCTCTACTTAGATATAGACAACACAAACACAGAATAAACACATACACATACCAAACATCCATGCCTTATGTGGGATTCGAAGCCAGGATACCGGCTCCCTAGCGAGCGAAAACAGTTCATGCCTTAGACTGCTCGGCTACGGTGACAGGCTACTTTAGTGCATAGGGCCTGTAATATCTTCCTAAAAATCAACATATATAAAAAGTAAATGAAGTAACACAGTGCGGCAGGGAAGAGATGTTAGCTAGTCATGAATGGATGCTACGCGATAGCATTGTGTTCGGGTTGGAACACAGGGAATAGTAGTAAGAGACGGCCTCTGTTCGCCGTTGCTATGGTGACCATCATCGTCATCCTTAAGAGGCCAGATGAACTAACGGGATATGGGAAACTGCGGCTTATTCCATATTTAGAACAAACTGTTAAGCTGCATATGTTTTCACTTTCAAAGAAACCACCAGTCCTAAATCAATTATACATTTTTCTGGTTTCTCACTATGGATTATGGTGTGGTTCTTTTTACTTCTCTGTTCCTGTAAAGCTGCGTAGAAATTAACAGTTTTCGCATTCAGACAGAAATTTTCAGGATAAGCTAAAAAAAAGAAATATTAAAAGAAATACATTTTAAACTTACACTAATAAAATTGTATAATGAAATCATTTCACTTTAATATTATTAAGATATTACTTTTATTTTTATTACATTTACCGTGCCCGCGAAATTTTCTAAGAAGAGACACTTTATCTTCAGCAATACCTGCTTTACTTTGAGGGTTTTTCATGATTCTCTCGAAATAAAGCAGAAATTATATCCGTAACAGCGGATAAGACACCCTGTATTGTTGCCTCTGGTATGGAAGGAGACAACTTTCATGAAAGATAAAACACAACCTCTGACATATTCAATGCAATATTTGCGCTGTTTCTGTGTTATCGATAAATAAGTACGCCTATGTAAAATGTGGGAATAGAGATGGAAAGTTTTGAGGAATTAGGTCCGTTAAAGAAAATTTACTTTGAGTTTGGATTCATTTCGTTTCAGTAACGACATCAACCTCTCATGTAAAGAGCAACGGATGCCTTACCAAAGATTTACATGACCACTCTAGCGGTCTGCATTAATGTTAATGTGAGTTGACCTTAAGGAAATAAAATAAATAAATAAATAAATGTCTGATACTGATTCCCAGTGATTACTCTGGGTGGCTCTCGAGATGACTGACAGTTGAGCAGTACTGCGAATATTAATATAATTATATTTGGAGTTACTGACGCAACTAATTCTAAAAATCTGGATACAGAGCTACTCAAAAAATTATCGCTTTGTTAAGCAAAAGTTCATTACCGAGTTCACAAGAATCTATCAACCTACAGTATTCAAAGCCAGCTGAATCCAGTATACACTTTCATGCCATGATTCTAAAAGAATAATTTGAATATTATATCCTCTCAGTTGTGTACAGAGCTCTAAAGTGGCAATCGCCATTCAGTTTGTCTAAAAGTTTAATACATTTCTCAATTCCCTTACGCGTCGTCTTTTTTATCTTAAATTTTGAGCATGGATATTGAGATAAGTAATACCACACTGATCCTCTGATTTTATCAGTACCTTATATGACATCCTATAACCACAAACCTATGCTGTAACAGCACTACATAAAGTGATAATGACTCGTAGCCTGTAGTCCGCAAGCAAATTATACCGAGCGAGCGACCGCCGCTTGTCGGTGAAGTTAGTGCCAAGTTTAGCCGATAGAGGGTGTCATGTGGTCAGTGCAACGGATTCCCACGGCCGCTAATCTCAGTTTTCTAGAACTGAGCCGATATTTCCTTGAAATAGCTCCTCAATTATCCTCACGAGGCTGAGTGGACCCAGCTCCAGACCCATTACTTCTCAAAAAATCTGGTAGCGTCTGGAATCGAATCTGTAGTCAGGAACTCTGACTACTAGACCACAGAGGCGGGCGAACGTGATAATATTTTGAATTTATTCATTCACAAATTAAATATATAAATAGCAGTAATATTAGATTTTGTGGGTTAAGCTTACTGGGATACACGTACTGACGTTTCTCATTCTTGCATAAATGAACGTTTCAGATTTCTCAACTCATGCTGAATTTTAAAGGCGCTCTGAGCATGTTCAAGTTTTATTGTCTTATTCCGTGTTTGAACTGACAGAATTTCCAGTCGCTGCTGGAAACACATGACGAAGTGTATGGTTCCGTAAATGTCAGTTCATTCATGTTAATTTAAACCTGAATGACTCCTGATAAAAGCTCAAGCGACTACATGTAAAGAAGATGCCTGCAACGGCTTCTCTCTGAGATTGCGTGTGAGAGCGGTAACCGGTTCGGTTAAGTTTTACTGAGCAGTTGTGCAGCTTGTACCGTTTTATGCAAGCGAATGCTGTGAGATAGAGAATTACTACGTCACAAATCCAGATTGGGCCGGTCACGGTAGCCGAGCGGTCTAAGGCATGTACTGTCTTCGCTCGCTTGGAAACCGGGATCGTGGGTTCGAATCCCTCTCAGGGATGGATGTTTAGTTTGTATGTGTGCGTTTTTCTGTGTTTGTGTACATGTAGAGGCCTTGCGACGAGCTGATCACCCGCCCAAAGAGTCCTACCGAACATGTAAGATCTAGAAAAACCGAAGAGAACGGAGAAGTTCATGGAGGTAGGCCTAGGCCCACTGGGGCTGTAGTGCCAAGGGGAAAAAAATTCAGATTGGACCAAGAGTAAAAACTTGTTTTAATGTGCTGCTCAGAAAGTCTGCAATGATGTATCCATGATCTCATTGACGTGAAGCTGAAAATAAATTTAGAAAGAGCTGACAGGTAAAAGGTTTCATGAAGAGGATAAGCTCCCGTTGATGTAAATATTTCTGTGATTTGAATGCTGCAATCTTGCCAAAGTGCGCACAAATACCACTACTTTTCCAATTAACGGCACAAAGTATTGATTTCCTGCTTGCCCTGTTGGAGAACAATACGCGTTTCATCTATCGGATGCAACAGTTTACGTGTTTATCTTTCTCTTTCCAGCTATACAGCAATATCTATATGAAACTTTTCCGTTTTGACTTAAACTGATTGTATTAGCCGATTTAATTTAATTGTTGAAGCGTTTTGTTTGTAATTGCGCTGTAACTTCGGACGTTTCCGGCTGTCTTTGTCACGTATTCGGAGATTTCCCCCTTCTGTTTTCTGCTCTCCCGCCCTGCGTCATGGAGTTGATCCGTTAGCCCCGCGCAAGCCGGGTGCACTGGAACCTCAGCGCTTCAGTTTGTGAGCGACAGCTGCCAAGAGAGGAGGCACTATATATTTTTTTTACAATTTTTAAATTCACTTTTGTAAACTAAGAAATCATAACGTGTCAGATAAGACATCTGTTCCGCTTTGAAATAAGACATAATTTTGACACGAAGTTAGATTTTGAGTAACAAATAATTGGAGCTTTTTATATTTTTGTGATCGTTAATTGACTAAACGTGACAAAGTAACTCCATCCTGAGGAATCCAGCACATGCAAAATTTCTGCTATACAACTGCGTTTTGCATCAACCAGAGTGGCAAGCATTTTATTTTAGCCATACATTTATAAGAAAAATACATTTCCGACTGAAACCTATATTGTAATATACTGAAACCTATTTAGTGCACTCAGTATATTTCTGCAAAGAAACACTAAACCAGAACCGTTCTCGAAAGCAACTTGTGTTGAGTTCAGGCAAACTAAGACTAACATTTCTCGATGACACTTGCAGAGAGTACACGAAACGTGTGCAGTAATATTAGAAAATTAAATTCGTTCTTAAAAATTGAGTAAAAATTTACTTTTTGTTAGTCACGCGTGACATAATTTTCTTGATGCTGACAACATGGCCCAGACAAAGAAAGAACAAGAACAACAGCCACAAGCTCCACCCCCACCGCCTCCTCCACCAATCAAACGCGTCGTTGTAGCCGTATTACCTGGCAAAGAGGTATGTAACAATGGCTGATAGATGTTGTGACTTGTGTTTGTGTCACCATGCCCTCTGTAATAACACATAAATATATGCAATGTTCCCCGTGTCCATGTATTCTAAATGTCTCTATCTTCATTATCTAGAGGAGGACATGTTACAACAAAATCTTAAAGTATCGGGAGATCCATTTTATAATGACAGTGCTTATCAATATTCTGAAACTAGTATTGTTGGAAAGCTCACTCCATCGATTTCAATCTATAAATATTTGGAAAAGATGGCACGTAGTAATGCTTCTATCCTGTAAACAAAGCGGTTATCTTTCTCTTTGTTGTTACTGAGACTACTTGCAAACAGCTGTTGTATCCACAGTCACAGTCTTTGACTCGGTCCTATCATATTTCAATTTATGTGAATGCAGGGGTCGTGAACTAGAATCACGTTCACGACACGGAGTTTTGTTCCAGTGACAGAGGCTTGCTATTGCATGTCGCAATGATTTACAAAGATTTGAAAAGGTAACACAGATCTGCATTTCCCTTCATAATTCATTCACATTTTATTAAATTAATGTGCATGTTTACAAAAATATGGAATTATCACCTCGAATATGGACAGTTTTGATTTGTGTTAAATTTCAACAGAAGCCTTACAATTTACAATAAATTGTTCCGAGAGAACCTTTACGCAGAAATGATACAGAACAACCCAAATTAATTAATATCTGAGATAAATATTTAGGAGATTCTATTAGGCAAATAGACACTGCAATTTCTCTTACGTATAGTTAAAAGTAAATGATATTTGCGTCTCAGTGTAATGACAGTATGAATGTAACACGTAAGAGCGTTAATTAGAATTAATTTACAAAATGTATAATAAGTTGATCCATTATTTTGTTCACGTACTTATTCATATTTAATTACCAGAAATTTTGTATATAAGTAAACTTGAGAAAACATCTAATTATTTTAATATAGTTGTATGTTTGGTTATTCTCGAATATTAGAATATGAACACTTGTCATTTCTTAAAATATCAAAGTTCCGAATGTTCTAAATTATCTAATATTTAAGTAGATTCTAAAACAAAATTTTTGTCTATTTTGAGTATTACTGTGTTGAATCATACATTTGACAGTGTAAATAATATTATTTTAAGAGTATATATGCAGTTGTACTCAGAGGATATATTCGTTTACATTAAAATAATTTCCTCTCAATTTTCCTCCACCATTTTGTTTGTCCAATTTAACCTCACACTCCACGTACTGTCTTATGAACTGCCTAAATCATGCTCTAAATATTACAGCAAAACCCCTCTTAAATAACGCATTGAATTCTCGGAGGCTGGGCTTCAAACGCGGATCCAGGCTGGAGTTTGACTAATTATTCTTCTCTGTTTGGTTTTGACCGGTGATGACAAGAGTTAGTGCTTCTTGAAGTGAGCCTTCAAAATATATACCAAAAGTTTATGTATCAACAGGGAAGCGTTAAAACTGTATAATTACCAGATTATGACATTGTCGAAATTTTACAAACAATTGCATCTTCAGATAAAGAGGGAAGGTTTAAAGGTTCGGCCACACAGAGCGCTACGCTATGTTCGCTACGCACGCTACGTACGCTGTGTACACTCTGCGACGCAGCTAACATAGGGAACATAGCGTACGTAGCGTACGGAAGTCTGTGTGACCAGTCACATTGGCAGTAAAGGGAGATATGTTTCTGTTCGTATAGCGAACATAGCGTACGTAGAGCTCTGTTTGGCCGAACCTTTAATCTAATAAACAGTTGTGAAGTTTGCGTTATGTGCTGTACGATATCCCTACAGTTCCGTCCTAACTGTTAAATAAGACTAACCAAGGAACAAAGAATCATGAATCCGGAAGATGAGAGGTTCTCCATAATCGCATAGAGTGCTTCTGGCCTCCTATCTCCAAGGATATTGTTGTTTATTTGAACATCGTCAAGTGACTTATTCCCAGACAGCTTCTTAGAGTGAAGGGTTATGTCTTCTGAGATTTATTGCTGTGTAATCCGTTGAAGATCAAGCTATCTTTCGGAGGAACACATAGCCTCCATTTTATTTCTTGACTTATCCTGTCATGTGCCTCTAAAACGTCGATTTACTTTCAGTGAACCTCACAGGAGAGAGCTCTTCCTCAAATTCTGCGCGTTTTAGTTTGTTATCCAAAGCGACTTGGTCCCGGACTCACGGCAGTGCTTGACTTATTTCAACTCGGAATTCCTAACGCTCTTAGAAACATTTAAAGTATTGATTCTAATATTATACTGGACACTGTTCATTGTATATAGGATATAGACGACGTTTCGGAACTCTACTCTATGATTGTCTTCATTTGATTATCCTAGTATTACTATGCCTTACATTTTTTAATCTGTGAGTATAGTGACAGTCATCTGAAAACAGGATAAGGGCCAACTTCCGAAACGTCTTCTATGCACGTATAATATATCGGAGGCATTTGAGAATGTTCGGTATTGTGTTATTATAATAAATCACTATTGACGTAAAAATTAAATAATCTTAAAGTTCATAATATGCATATTCGTATGTGTAAAGTGTAACGGAATAAATTTAATGTTCCTCAGACTATCGACTTGTGTCACTATCGATCCTGTGTGGCACGTTAAACGATCATTTAAGCACGGACCTTTCGGAAACGAAGAGAGCTCTTTAATCATCTGTTGGTTCCTTGTTCACTATGATATTCACATACATCGCAGGCATCTACCAATACATTCACTTCTTAAAATGATTTTAGATTTTTTAATTTCCTTTTTAAATTCGCTTAGCAAGCGGTGGAGTCCAGCTGGGACCACTCGGCACGGCGGCCACGATTGGCCTATTTTACTTGTCCAGAGTTATTATGATGATGGAGCATTTGGTGGAATGAAGATTGGCAAGGAAAACCGAAGTACTCGGAGAAAACCCGCCCCAAAGCCACTTTGTCCACCACAAATCCCACTTGATCAGAGCCGGGATGGAACCCGGGCCACCGCGGTGGGAAGCCAGAGACTAACCTCTTGAGCTATGGTTTTAGATGCACCCGTTACTAGCTCGTTTATTTCTATGCAGGTTTAACAAAGAAATTTTGTTTAAGATCGTAATTTTGTTGCATCAAAATAGTCGTATTAGGGATGGAAATTTTAAAACGCAGTTTACAGATATGTTAACCAGATTGAAAACAAACAGATTTTAGTGTAATTGTGATTAATATAATTCAAAGATTTATCGAACGTCAGTTTATATTCTTCAAACGTCTGCCAATTACGTCTCATCGTTGTGTTTCTGTTCACGAGTGATTCAATATTAATTAACTAATTAGCTCCATGTAGCTGAGCCCTTCTAAAGAAGCCGCCAGTTGCATAACTACTCAAGAATTTCCTAACATTTTACGGAACCAGGATGTTCATTGCCGTGTTCACAAGATCCCTCCACTGGTCTCTATCCTGGGCCAGATAAATCCAGTCTATAAAACCCAATCCTATCTCTCTAAGATCCATCGTATTATCTTCCCACCTACGCCTAGTTCTTCCTAGTGATCTCTTTCCTTCTGGTTTTAGCACCAAAATCATATATGCAATGCGCTTCTCTCCCATGCGTGTTACATTCCCAGTCAATCTTATCTTCCTTGATGTTTTATTCAATATTGAAAATTTAATAATATTTTGTTGTAAGAACTAAAAGTTTCATTGTCACCGTTCAAGGCCGAATCTTTATGTTGTTTGTAATATCCAGTACAAACCTATTATATGTTGTTACGCACGTGTAACACTGTGTTCCTCACTAGATGGCGTGGCTGTGGGTACGAAAAATGTTTTAGGTTAGAACGATTTATGTTAATATTAATAAAATATGAAGGGGTTCGAATCTTTAAATACACCAACAAAGCACAGATTCTAAATAATGGCCTAACTGTATCTTATTCTTTATGAAGTTTCCAGCGCAAGTTCTTGGGTATAGCTCAGCTTTTGATGGACTTAGTTTCTTGGCTTCTAAGTTGGGTCGTTGCTTTTCAAGCCACGTATACTTACCGTGCCGCTGTCTCCGTGGCCTGCCTTCTTGATTGCTCTTGTAAAAGCGTTGCTGATTTTATACTTGGCAAGTTCCTTCACAGGAATTGAGATACGATTCAATTTGACAGGACTTCGTAATCTGCTACAGATGCGAGAGTAACGGCTGGTGACCCACTAGGAACGTATGTAAGGCCGTGCCATAGCTAAGGCGGTTAGTCGCCGGCTTCACACCGCATCAGCCCGGGTTCGGACCCGGGTCGGATCATGTGGGATTTGTGGTGGACAAAGTGGCACTGGGGCAGGTTCTCTTCGAGTACTTCGATTTCGTCTGCCAATTCGCATTCCAGCTAGCATCAAAATCATCATCATCTATTATCTGGGGCTGGTACAGTAGGCCAAACCGTGGTGGCAGTAACAAGTGGACTGTCTCACCCCATGAGAATAATAAAAATGAGATGGTATGTAGGACTTCAAGTTCGCATAACAGTGGTCATGCACGAACTCTGTTTTCTGATATATAAAACTGTGCAGTCCATTATAAGTCAACCAATATTTCGGAGAAATATTTCGCCTCCATAGTCAGGGTTGAAGTGTAATCGAAGCAAGATACCAGCATGAATCAGACAGCAAACAGAGCTCTGCTTGTTCTCTGTCGTATTAAGTATTGCGAATTTGTATTCAGGTAGGACTCGCACCTTCCGCTACCTCTGTGAACACTAACTTCATGACTTTGTTTTACTGATTACGTCTGCCAACAAGAGACTTTTGTTTGTGGAGAGTGAACATCAAAATCAGTCTTCAAGGACATGCTGAGAACTGTCATGTACTCCAAACTGATCCAGTCATTACACTGTTTTGTAAAATATTTCTAAACATCGTGTGTTATATTGACGCAGACGTGACTACTGAACTACAATTGAATGTTGTACTGATGCAGTGCAGTGTGAGTTGTTTGCTTGTTGGGCAGACAAT